ACACAGATAATAATGTTTACTTTCTAAAGGACGCCGTGTTCTGATAACTACTGGTTTTCTCTGGAATTGGTTGATGAACAGGTCTTCCCCTGGCGGCCAACGAGGGAAATGCAATTCATAATGATGTTGAAGTTAAATGAAATTCTCGGGAAAATGGAAAATAATCTCTATAAAACAATGTGCATGCCACTGATTATGTTACAGAAGGTACACACGTTTTACATTTGAATTAGTCTAAGTTGCATTTACCCTCACTTGATCTAATTCAATAATCTTTATCTTCCTTCCCAGGAGTGCTTTGCCTCCTTATCGACTGTAGTTCAAAATCGGTTTTACCAGAGGCTGTAAAGAATTTTAGCTGTCTAAGTAATCTAGCTGTTAATCTGCTGTACGACAGCAATGAAAAATCGTTCTCAGGCCATGTAAAAACAGCACATTGTCACATATTCCATAATATCTATTTTCCAAAATGTTTTCGCAGCGAAAGTGTCAATGAAATATTGCCCCCTCCTACTTTCATATGGTGGCTGTGGGACTGTTTTTTTTCACCTGCCTCTATACCCAAGACAGGGGCAAACGGTAGGTAGTAAAATAGCATCACATTTCAAAAAATTAATTTTAACGTATACAGATTTACCCTTTGAAGCATCATGTAGGTAGTTATAATAATGACCACACTGACGGGAAGAAGATGTGATGATAGTAGACAATTTGCCCTGACCACGTGTTTATCATGACAATGTGACATGTAGAACCAATGTTGAGATTTAAAGGTTTTCTGCACTTATCTCCATAAGTATCCTTAGGGCCGAGGACAGCTTTTGGGAAGCTTTGGATTTATGGCACCGTTCCATATAGACACTGCAAGCGCATCAAGTACCTACATCTACATACCCACATACACCAGCACCCACACCCCCCGTGCCGCGAGACGAGACCCCCACTGGACCAACAGCTCTCGACTAAACTGTAAGCTGTAGTCAGTTCACGAACTAATAGATCCAAAGTGTGGGTTATAACCGGTTGTTTGGGCAATGCAACAGTTTCGTTTCAGTAAAGTTGACCCAGGGAAGCTCTGAATAAAGGTGCAAAAACTCATTTCATTCATCAGGGTTTTTTTGTTATTTCCGGTTATACAGCATGCATCACTATTTGCCAGATAATATCGTGGTTATGATTGAACCAGTGGTCACAATTTTCAACTTTCTCATATAAGGCGATGGTAAACATGGTTTTGCAGGTCTATAAATTCAGCACCATGAAATATAATTTCCCGTCAGGTCTTCAATACTCCAACGAAAAAACTTTTATCACATGAGAATGATGCTCAGTTTACATGTGGGATAACCTATTTGTTTATTCGTGGGTTTTATCAAAATTTGGGTCGAAGTTGACTGGTTAAAAGGCACGCCGCCGTGTGAAGTGGATGTCCCCAGATGTGCCTTCCCTGCAGTGTCACCGGCTTGGAACACCTGCTTAGTCACAGTGGGCTCCGTTCACTCTGGACTGAGATCAAGCCCATATCCCATTACTTTATATAGGCAACATTCGCCCCATATCCTGCCCCCCATTCTCCGACTAACCCTAACCCGTGCTAATCATACGGGACCCCAGGGGAGCTGAGAACAGCGCGACATGCTAGAATAGTTGAGTTAGGCTGCTAACTAGCTAACTAACCAACAGATGTAAAAACAGCCTTCTTGGTGACGGCAATAAAACACGTGACTTAAGATTAGCTTTAAAAAAATATAATAATGATTAAAAACTGCCGCCGAATAAAAATACGTGATTTCAACCATAGACATCAGCTCCATGTTAACTAGGATCTATGAACAAGTCGACTGGGTTGTACTGAAGAAAAAAAGCAGATCAAGACAACTTTTCATAAAAATGTTCAATGACTGAATAAAAGACAGGCACGTTAGTAACATTCTCTCTCGCGAATAGGACAGAAAAATATAACAACAGACGGCGTACCATACGCACTCATCCACAGCCCCTCCCCCCTCCCCCACCCTCCCCCCGTCCAAACATCACTGCATACGGAAGAAACACACAAAAATACCTGACATCTGAGGAGGAGAGTGCAACATCTTAACCAGAACAAAGGTTAAAAGATAAACATAAAAATCAATAATACAAAAGTTTGAACTTACCACCAGGTGACGGTAAAGATAATGTCCCGCCGTTTTGGGTAGCACAATGAGTATAAACAGAAAATCAAATGATAATTAAAACACCTCAGACATATAACAATGACACTTGCACCAAATTTCCCGGGGATTTTTCGGCGAAAAGTGGGCCATCAATACCTCAGACTACTCAGTAAGTATCTTTCATCTTTCAACGTTTTAATTTAGGGGAATTTAAAATTATCTAGGAAGTTAGTGCGGACAGTGCTAACACATTTTGGAATTAAAATGCGACCTGCAAGTTGTGTAGTGATCCGTTAATTAGAACTGNAAAGTCTCATTATGAAAAAATACATATTAAGGGCCGCATATCCTTATGGAAAGAGCCCGACGCGGGGTTGTTTGCTTACATATCGTTTGACGGGTGAAAGGATGACCATATTAAACGTGCAGAGTATAAGGTATTATCGTATACGACAAAGAAACCAAGTACATGCATGATTTGTTTATGTAAGGAAATTACATCGAAATTTAAGTCCCAATGAAGCGCCATAATTGCTGACCTGAGCCAAAAACTCCATAGACACAGTCGCTCACCACATCACACGAGACATCAGACACCGGGGGCTGGGGACGACAGATAGAGGCCATGTCACGGTGTTCATTTCTTTATAGTTCATTAGTTGGTTTAGGAACAGTGGCCTTTGTCTGTTAATACATGTAACAGTGCTGAGAGAAATTTGTTTTCACTACACTGTTTTATTTTTATTCCTGCCTTCATAATAACAATGAATCGATGAATAAAACCCTGAGCTGAAACAAACAGAGTACAAAGTAGACCTTACCTTGTCACATTACAGCTAGAACTGGCAACAAAGCTTACTAAGATCTTGTAAACCGACCGTATGTAGAGGTCGTCAAGAGGAGAATATATAATTTAACAGGGTTAATTGAAGAATGAGATTCAGCAGATGTTAATCGACATAAAGGTACCAGAACTCTGGCAAGTCGTAATAAATTATACCATTTGCTTTAGTTTTCATATCCGTTTATTTGGACAGCAGTTAAGAAGGGCCAGAGGAGCACCTGGTGCCTGCTTTGCCTGTGTACAGTGTGGCTATGGTGCCTGCTTTGCCTGTGTACAGTGTGGCTATGGTGCCTGCTTTGCCTGTGTACAGTGTGGCTATGGTGCCTGCTTTGCCTGTGTACAGTGTGGCTATATATGGCCGCATTCAGAACAGTGGACTGACTGGTCCGAGGGTCAAATATGACCCACCCACTTGAATACTTACCCACGGGGAATCTACTCATTGTTTATCAGCGGATTAGACGGCAAACTTTTTAATAGTGTGCCATATTTGACCCGCGGGCTAGTGTCCACTGTTCTGAATGCGACCTATGTGACAGTGCCCAGTCTAAACCCGCCCAGGCCCAGTCCAGGCGCAATGCTGAATAAGTTAATAGGCTCACTAGTTGACAGGGGTGTCATGTGTAATCAAACCGTTCATATTGATAATAAATATTTGCCACTGCAGCTTTAGAAGGCACGTCATATATTTCATAATGCATCAGGTTTAACTTAAGGTGTCATTGATATTCATTTAATAACATTTGTATGTCATTATTAGATTATTTTGTAGCAATTTTTTAAAAAAGTGGGACAAAAAGGCCACTTTAATCATTTGCACAAAATAAGAATATAAAATATTTTAATAATATGTTTATTCACAGTCTAAACCCAATTTAAAAGGGTAAATTTACACAATAAGATGAATGAAATCCTCCAATCTATAATGTTCAGCTAATATGTGAAGATAATAAGTATATATTATACAAGGTAAAGTTAAAAACCAGTCAAATCAGTTATAAAACTCCTGGCAAAAATAAGTTTTCAGTTTTTTAAATTGCCCTCAGACTCTGTACTTTTAAGTACATTGGGGGCTGTTCCATTCATTTGTAGTGTTAGGTTGCCATACTTTTTCAGTCTGGGATTGCATGATCAAGTGATCTTAAATTACGTTTTGGAGTGTAATGTTTGACTAGATCCTGTAGGTGAGCGGGTGCTGATTGATGAAAATTGCATTCTTTTCTTTCCAATAATATACGTGCTCTAAGAGGGCTCTAAGTTCTTTTAAAAATAAAGCTATAGGAAGTAATTTCTCAAGAACAGTATTGAAACAAAAATCAGGATACTTAAGTAAAATGCTGAAGTTTTTGTGTTATTGTAGCTTAATACCACAATGGAATTCAGCGCTGGTGTTCCACTCCCGTCAGAGGGCCTCACCATTGTGAACATGTAGGAGTTGTGTGGCTCCAACCTTCTCTTCCATCATTATAATTTATCAAACAGTAATTCAGACTTTTATATTCCTTTTTTCAACTTATATAACTGATAGCACATATTTTTATGTTATTTTATGTTGTGCCTTAGTTCTAAGTGAACTCCATTTATCAGAACGGTATCTTTTTATTCAGCATACAGGATACTTCAGATTTTGATAACCTTTTTGGTAGTTTTCTTCCTTCTTTTACACCTGTTAAGATCGTTTCTGATTTAAATGCCAAATGACATGAACTTGTATAGTACATTGAATGTCCAATGGCAATTTTTGTTCAAACTTTTCGAAAGTTTCTTCCCCAGGATTTTCCACACCAGTAGAAATATCACTGCTGGGTACGTTTTCAGAGAAATGGATCTTTTATTATGAATTCCACTACATTTACTTGGGAGTTGAATTTCATTGTAAAATTGATCATGGTGTCACATTTCTTATATAAGTATATATTTGACATTAGCAATTACAAAATAATATAAACACAGATATTTTATATTTTCAAATAAAATTTTAATTGTTTTTAATCAGTACAAAGGTAGATGCATTATGTGCTAATTAGATGCAGGAAGAACCTCATTTTAAGACGATCATATACCCTTACAGAACCCTTCACACGGTGAATCTCTGACAGGTGCCTTTTGTTCTTATAATAACTATTCTTGAAGTGTATGCAATGCATTATAGACCAGTATGAATATCAAATTCTGGAGATTTCCATGCCCCGATGCAAATGAGGAATGTTAAAAACGGTTTTGAAATATTTCATCACCTTTTATTCAGCATTTTGAACGTAGCAGTCATTGAAAATCTCAGCAAACTTATTAAAGTGAACAATTTCATAGTGTACATCTCATGTGAAACTTTCTGGTGGAAATCTACAAGCCATTTTCAGTTCATACACAGACGGCCTACTTCAGTTTAAAAACAAAGACTGAAAAAATTATGAAGCTGTAAATACATGTCCATTTTTACTTACAACCTGAGACCATGAATTATCACCACTGATTGGAAAGAAATGGCAACATTTCCTAGGTCTGGGCCTCAAGTTATACGGGCTTTCAGAAAATAGGAAAAAAATATTTGAAAATTACAAAAAAATAGGAATTTTCTTGCAAAAGTATAGGAAAAAATAGGAATTATTCTGCAAGAAAGATACCCTCTAAACAACCCTAAAGACATACTGGTCTAACACTAAATTGTGTTATTTACTAAAGTAAAGATGCCCTTACTAATAGTAAATAACACAATTTAGTGTAACAACAATCATCTGTCGAAAAAACTTTTAAACAACAACACAGTTAACTTTATAACCGATACTGTAACAGTACTGTAACATCTTTCATAACATTTAACATACATTCCATACACTGTGCTATTATGTAGTCAAAACAACATAAATTGTCAAAAACATCACTTTTTAACATTTTGTGGTTTTTGATTTTCATCTATAAATAATGAGGTTTTTCACTGAACAACTTTCTTTTGTCCCTACTGCTGACTATTTTGCTGAGATACTTTTCCAGGATTCTTAAGCAACAATTGCCATTTGCTATTTAGAGCTGTGTGGGTTGGTGATAGCTAATGGGAATTAACAACCTAAACAGCAATTTCATTGCAGGAACAAGAAAATACTTGTAGCAAGCACTGCAACAAGAATTGTGAATGATTTGGCCAGTTTTAACCCTTTCTCTCATTGTTTGCATACCCATTTTTTTTCTCAGCTCTGAACTATTTTCAGTATGGTAGAAGATACAAGGAACTGCCCATTAGAGCTTTCTGAGAGTCAAAGTCAAAAAAGGTTACAAATAGGATACAAGTAAAAATTAATTAACCAACTTACAAATATCTAATTTCATTATAAGAAAAAAATGAGAAAAACTGGTGAAGAGCTTCAAATTGTTTGTAACTATTTTTATAATTCTACAATCTTCACTTCATATTGCATATATCAGTACAGGATTAAACCTACTCTCCACAATCTCCTGTGCACATGGAATACACTGAAAGGTGAGGCGAGGGCCTGCAGCTAAGAAGTTTTCAGTAATGGAGTTTGCAAAAAGTTTCTACATATTTCTACAAGCACAAACAAATCACAGTACAAACTGTTGTTCTTTTGTAGTTGATGGATTATAATACTTTCTTCTCATCCTTGGTCAGTGTTTTGATGAACTTGCATGTGGCATCCCACTGCAGGTCCAGGTCTGATGCTTGGCCAGTGAACTTCAGCATATTCCACACATGTAGTCATCTAAACATCTCATTTTGGGGCATGGATCTTTACTGTCAAATTAAGTTTTCGTAAATAGGTCCAAGCACAGTTAGTTAATATCTTTGCCAAACTTCTCCTAACCTTCATATTAAACAGTTAAATATTAACTGAGGTGTCAAGATTTTATTTCACAATTTAACCGACATGACTTGGCATATAACATCATTTCTAGATTAAAAAATTGGAAAAATAGGAAAAAATAGGAATAATCTCAAAAGAATAGGAAAAATGGGAACTCCCACAAAGTTTTTCAATTTAATAAAAATCAGAGCATCATAACCTGGGAGGTTAAACTGTGCATGGTAGACGACTGGGTTCCAATATTTAAGCAAAAAGTTGTATGCACCTTAGTTATAAGAAGTCCAAATGTCAGATATGCAGATTATCAAGTCTGTTGGAATGGCAATTTTATAACCTCTTATCAACTTTCATCACTTCAAGTAACCCAACAACACTTGTGAAAATGCTCACTTTGCATTTTTAATATATTTCAACCATATTCTTGGGTTGGAGTTTCTCGCTGAATCAACATTAATTATACAAAAACAACTTTTAGCAGAAAAATATAAGACATAACAATATGACCATCAAATTAAAAATGGATAAACATTAATGAATTTAATAATAACTACAAAATACTGTTAAAAATAAAATCTTTTAAATTAGATGAATTTACACCCATTTAAATTCAGATAGTTGTTTGCTGATTTTCCTAGTATACTTTTTCACAACTGATAGATTTAACCATTGTGAAAAAATTCTTACATTTAAGCCTAGATCACATTTGCCATGGATGCCATATACAATTTTCAGAGTGGTTATTATGACACTGTAAGTGGCCACGGCAAGAACTTCTACATTTAGTATGGGTGCTGTGCTACTTCACTTACATGACCTTTAGCACAAAGGAAAAATTCTTTTTGTCAGTGATTAGTAATTGTACAGAGCCCTATCAGTGTCAGTGCAGCTGCTGTATGGCTTCCTTGATGATTGTGATCTTGTCAGTGTAGATTCCTTAGATATTTAATGCCCATGTGGTCAGAATGAGGAAGCGCACAACTCTAAATTCATGCTAGTGAATTACACTAAGTTTTATATATCTTTACTTTTATTACACCTCCTTAAACCACTGAAGGTGGAAGGAAAACAGACCAACAACAGATGCAAACATTATCAAAATCATCTCAAGTCCTGCAAATAATGCCTGTACTAGAACTGTGCTATGCCATGCACAATAATGCTACGGCTAGGACTTTCAAAATTTGTCAAAAGTTTTTGCTTAACTAAGTCCTCTTGGCTACAGAGTCTGTAAATTCAAGCAACTTCATATAATTTCACATGGCCACCATCTGCCTCGGCTCAGAAGCTGCATGAAAAGGGATTTACGGGCAGTACACACGCGCTGTATGGAAACAGCATGGCAAATGTAATCTAGGCTTAATCCAATTCTACCTGCAAAAATAGATATTGATCCCAGGAAGGATTCTACAGGCATTCAGAAGCCTTTACCCTTCAAGTCTTTCTTTACAATATCTTTCATCATGAACTTTAATTTCCACTGACAGAATGATTCTGAGGAGTAATTCTCCACTATTCTCCACAATGACTTAAGGTTTGTCAGCATTGGTATTTGGTGTATCATACAATGACAAGGGGAAGATTATTTCACTACTTGTGATCAGTAAACTTCTCATTGTACATTCTCAACAATTCATCAAACCATCAGAGTGGTTCTCAGTCACGACTTCTTCATCCTTTTATTAAGGTGTAAGTTAGTCAAGGGTGAGGCAGACCCTGTGGCTGCCAGCCGAGCACTCTGCCTGGTAGGGGACAGCACAGAGGTCACACTGCTGTGGTGACAGTCAGGATTGGAGGACGATGTGGACACCAGAGACACCATTCCATTTCCATTGACAACAGGAGAGGAGTTTGACCCTGAGAGAGCGGCCCGAGGACGTTTGGCTGGTGATGGGCTGTGGTTTGATTGTGTAGCTGATCTACTGCCTGCTGTTCCACCTTGTGGCACTGGGCGCTTGCCGAGATTCATCTGGCCAATACCTGGAGCCAGAAGTACAATCATTTCATAAACCTGACATCTAAAATGGTACATATACAGAGATTAAAAAAAAGTTATGATATATAGGCGAGATGGATGGTAAAAGTGTTAAAAAATTTACAAAATGTTTATTATCCCTTCAACACCAGGTAGGTCCTGTCTAAAAATGTGGATATTTTTTACTGTTCACTGTTTCCTGTGTTAATTCTGACTAACCATCAGTACACAATCAGCAAATCTTTTTTAAAATGATTGCAAACTTTCAAGGTCTACACATACCCAGTTTCTGTTCAATAACTTTCATCTGTTCTTCAGCCTCCCTACATTCTTTATATTTCATCTGCATCTCGGGGTCCTTCAGGTGCCCTTCATGCTCCTCCAGCTCACTCAGGGTCTCCTCATACTTCTGGAGAGCCGCACGGAAGTTCTGCAATGTTTCTGTAAAATAATCAATGAGATTTATTCAGCTTATAAATGCACAGGTCTCAAACTTTATGAAATGTAGCAGTAAAAAGATGATTTTTTAAATAATCATAATTCACCACTATTTCTCTACTTGACCTTGATAATGGGTCAGAAGTCAAAATGCAGGTCATATTTCATATGCATTACTCTGCCAAATACAACAAATACTGTCTTTACCTGTGGTACCACAGTTTAAAACAGTTATCAGTTTGGACATATTTTGGCTGTTGTATACGTTTCAGGACATCAAATGACCCAGTGGTATCCTGTCCCTTACCTAACTGTGTACAGACAGCATGGTAAGCTATTGGTAATGGTTCTCCAAACACTGCCCCCCTCATCTTCTCAATGGCTGGTGCCTTGTTCAGGCTACCACCAAACTTCCCATTGCTTCGTATCCTTTCACCATCTCGACTCAGAATTGTTGGGCAGTAGGTGTACTTGACAAGCTGCAGAACAGAAGTTTAACCTTAATGGGTGTGTATTCTACATAATACAGTAGTGTAAATGAGAGTTTCTGGGTATTACACTGAAATTTTGGCAAATAATAACACAAACAATAATAATTTCAAATAAATTTGGTTACTGCCTTAAAATTGTTTCTCTTAGTTTGACTGGCAAGCACCCACCTCCTGCCTGTAGGCTGTGGCTGTCTCCAGGCTATCACAGACTATGGTTTCTCCAAGAAGACTACCAAATACTGCAAATCAAATAAGACCTAGACATACAATAATATGCACTGGCAACCAATATCAGCATCAGCATAAAGACAAACAGCTGTACATGAATAAATACCAAATGAATCTCTGACACACCATCCTCACCATTCTACTGTAAAAGCATGTTTTGTCAAAACCATATAAATATATATAATAGGTATCAAATGTATCATCAAAAATGTAAGAAATCATCTCATTTAACATGTACAAGCTTGACCTTGACCTTCATGGCTCATGAGTAACCCTGGAAGATTAAATCTTGAAGTATAACTACCTTTTTTTTGGAAATATAAGTAATCAACTTTCATAATAATCGTTTTAACTACCGTTCTTATATATTATATTATTTTATATATATATTTATACTTTCACTCATCTTTTAAAGGTGGTTTTTAGTAAATAATTAATAATAATTATAACACATTTGACACCCCCCCAATAAAAAAATTAATTAATAAATAAAAATATCAGTATTATAAAATAGAACACGGACAAAACATAGCAAAGGTATTTTCATTACCTGTTTTGCAACTCTCCGGATCATTAGGAAATTCCAGGAATTCTCTGGCATATTTTGGATTACCAGGTGGTTTCCAGGTTGGTTTGAAGCGTACATGAGGTAGAGCTCTACAATAAGAAACTTAGCTATCTATTCTGGTGGAATTTCAACATTACAATTCACTGTACACCTGCTCCACAGCAACACTGCCATGTGATGGCACAGTACTGTATACACATATCCATATACACATACAGACCACTACATTTCCAGAAATAATCTATATTCAATCAATAAGTTCAAACAGCTCATTATGTCCAATAATCATGAACTAAAACACAGCCAAATAAAATATGATTTACATCATAAAATTGTAGTTAAGAGCTCATATTTTATTCTGCTCGAAACAGCTTTTTAACTGGTTTCAGCACTAAATGACAAAAACACTGCAGTAAGATAAAATCAATACTTGAGTTATGAATCATCATAAATAAAAGTTACTTGTTCCAGTCTGGTAGATTCTTCCTGTACATAGTGTCTATGGAGAGCACCTGTTGCCGGCCATCAGTGTCACGGTAGATTTCTTTTGCCTTGAAGATAAATACATTCTCATTACACTGTCAAGACTTCAGGAAACAGAACATGTTAATAAAAGTGAAAAAGTTCACAAATACCAATAATATACCAGTTCAAATTCAAATTCTTCTGTAAAGAGAAGCCTTTTAAAATGATGAACATTTCCATGCCTGACAAAAATTTAAAAGTATTTTGGGGTTACCACACTACCCATTATTATATCTTTACCAATGCAAAATCTCCAGATATTTTGAAAAGTTTACCTTTTTCAGTGTGTGTGTCACAATACAGTCCATATCAGAGGACATGTGCCAGGACATGACACGTGCCACCTCATGGTCACGGATCTGGGCCAAGTGGGCTATCTGGAACACAACCAACAACCTTAGCATCCAGACCAGGCATAAGCTGTGTGGAAGATTTAAGCTATGTCACATTGTGTATGTCTGGATCTACATCAGCCTAATTTTTGTGTATGTGGGGACGTGTTTTTACTTAGTTTGACTTATCAAAGATACTCTTTACAGGATTTACCTGCCAAAATAATTTTTCCTGCTGGACAAAAAAACAATTTTCTCCTAGTCATGTATCCTTGCTTGATTTGTTCCCGCATACTTAAAAAGGAACTATTGATCAGGTACTTTAATTTGAAGGGTTTTATAGTTTTTAAGGCCTGAAGAAGTTATTAAGGCCTGAAATGGCAAAGTAGCTTTGCAGTGCAGGATATGTAGACAGAGAAAAAAAAGACAGTGTAATATTTAAATGCATACCAATGTACCTTTGAGTTTGAGGTTAATATATATTTTGTCATCCACCTGCTTTTGTACACTGTCATGCATATGAATATGTTTGTACAAGAATAAGAGAACTGATCACAGTTGATAGGGTACATGTGCAAAGCTAGAGAGTAGATATCCACAGTCACTTACCCTGCCTAACACCTCTGATCACAGTTGATAAGGTACATGTGCAAAGCTAGAGAGTAGATATCCACAGTCACTTACCCTGCCTAACACCTCTGATCACAGTTGATAAGGTACATGTGCAAAGCTAGAGAGTAGATATCCACAGTCACTTACCCTGCCTAACACCTCTGATCACAGTTGATAAGGTACATGTGCAAAGCTAGAGAGTAGATATCCACAGTCACTTACCCTGCCTAACACCTCTGATCACAGTTGATAAGGTACATGTGCAAAGCTAGAGAGTAGATATCCACAGTCACTTACCCTGCCTAACACCTCTGATCACAGTTGATAAGGTACATGTGCAAAGCTAGAGAGTAGATATCCACAGTCACTTACCCTGCCTAACACCTCTGATCACAGTTGATAAGGTACATGTGCAAAGCTAGAGAGTAGATATCCACAGTCACTTACCCTGCCTAACACCTCTGATCACAGTTGATAAGGTACATGTGCAAAGCTAGAGAGTAGATATCCACAGTCACTTACCCTGCCTAACACCTCTGATCACAGTTGATAAGGTACATGTGCAAAGCTAGAGAGTAGATATCCACAGTCACTTACCCTGCCTAACACCTCTGATCACAGTTGATAAGGTACATGTGCAAAGCTAGAGAGTAGATATCCACAGTCACTTACCCTGCCTAACACCTCTGATCACAGTTGATAAGGTACATGTGCAAAGCTAGAGAGTAGATATCCACAGTCACTTACCCTGCCTAACACCTCCGGGTGTCTGGGAGCTGGTTGGAGACTACAAACTCTCCTTGAAGTATTCAGCAACAGATCACGGTGTCTCATCCTTTGCTGAACCAAGGAATCCACACTTTCCACCTGGTATATTGAAATTAAAGCCATATGACACTTTAATGTATATCTTTACTAACTCTGGCTGTATGTGAAAAATACTTCTTCATCAGCCACACACTAAGCATTTATTAACACACACAAACTTTCATATATATCCTAACTGAGGTTTGACTGACAGTAATGATGGGAGTTGCATAACAACAGAAGCAAAATATTACCAAGAGTGCAATAACTTTTTTAAAATATTCTCATTATCATTTCTTTCTTTTTTTGGCACCCAATTAAAATTTGAAACTAACAGAACAACCCAATACATCTCAAGTGAAACAATATATATATATATATATATAGTTAACTTTATAGGAATTATTATACATACTGTCTGAACTTGTGAAGCTGGGATATTTTGTCTCTTCAGTTCTTCTTTTAGCCGATTCTTCTCTTTGTTAGATTCATGCACTGCAACTGTAATCAAGTGGTGTCTTTATTTCCTCTTACATCACAGACATACTACAATTTGCCTCTTTCTTATATCAGTGACATGCTAGAATTTACTTAGTCATGGACAGCTTTTCAAACATTGCACCTTTCAAATGAAAAGAACCGAACCTTAATTACTGCAAAATTTTCTTTTTAATTCACTTAGCTTACTTTAAAATTCATGATAAATCTTGGTGATAAAAAAACTCACTTTTCAGTTCATCTATGAGTTGCTTGGTGGTATCAAACAGTGACTTGTAGGTTCTTATAGCAACCCGCAAACCATCTCTCTCCTTAGTCAGTGCTGCCATCTGGCTTTGTTTTATTGCATCTAAAACAATCAAGACAGGCTACAGCTACAAATATGATGGACTCTATCACCACTTAAGTTAGAATGTTTCTCTCCTTGTTCAGTGCTGCCATCTAGCTTGGATATATATAAATTCATTTAAATTCATACATGCAAAGGGACTTCTAAGAGCTGGTTGAAGACCTTACTTGGATCAGTTCAAGACGAATAAAAAAATTCCTTGAATAAAGAACAAAACTTTTCATGAAGATAAATGATCCACAGTGATTACCATGGCAACCATAGAATGGTATCATAGCAACATGACATGCAATGAGGGTTGTGTTGCATGCATTATTTCATAGTCATGCAATACAGCCATTTGGTATTACACTTTTCATTAACTAAAGGTATCTCTCAATAAAGAGGTCATATTAAACACAATAAAAGCAGATATCCAATCAATTAGAAAAGAAGTAAAAACTGACATTCTCTTACACAAACAGCTACATCAGCAAACTGAGTGCAACTGAACAACAACATTTCCATGTTTTCAATAAAGGTATCAATAATATGTCCAAACTCCAAAGCTTTCAGTCTATGGATAAACTGAACCCCACCTCTCAACAACTCTCTCTTAACAAACCCCATCCCTCTTTATTAGCAAACTATCTTCTTTTACCAGGTAAGTATCACTATCCAGTAACATACTAGACAACAACATTAACAACAACATTATTGTTATATTATGTGGACTAGAAAGATCAATAAGTCAATGCAGGAACTATGATTTCATATGCCTTAAGAATTTTATCAATAGTTCTTTGTTTCCAATGCATCTCTGAATAATCAATAAAGCGATCAATTGCTGAACAGTTATACATTGATCCACATTAGACTAGTGGAAATGCGCCTTGTGTAGGTTTAATATTGATCCACATTAGACTAGTGGGAATGTGTCCTATATAGGTTTAATCTATCAGAAGTGTACTTAATCAATAGAAAATCCAATTAATAATCTAATCATCAAGGTGACATTCCACTGCATGGTAAATTATTCACAACTGTTGAGTGTGGGCCTCTACAATGGGCTCCATAAGGGGTACATGTGAGGTGGGACAGCTGGACTGGGGATATTGTAATGAGGATATTTGTACTAAAATGTGTTGCTGGGGTTTACACTGATTAATGTAAATTATTTTAGTAGATAAAAGCTGTGTACTTTATTTCAAAACATGTCTGCAATCACATGATTCAGCTTTGTGTTTAAATCACTTCCAATCAACTTTAAGAATATTGCCATACATCCAGAGAAGTGTGCAAGTCACTGTTGCTTAGCATCATTATTAAGAAAATGCTGAGGATTTTTTTCACTTAAAAAAGAAATGCAAATAAATATAAATAACATAAATTTGACCAAGGAATAAACAATGCTAAAAAAGCTCTAAGTCAGAACTTGTCCAACTGTTGCCCACTTTCTTCTATTCTGGCCCCTCACATTAGGTGTGGCAAGAAAAAAAATGGTCACCATCTTAGATCCCAGCAGTGAATGACAAGAGACAAGGTAAGTCTAATGATCATCTTCAGATAATGTTAACTTTGTGCTTAAGAGTAATCCCTTAAGCATGTACCAGATAGCTTTTCACAGCAGAGCAATCTTAAAATAATATACGCAACAGACAATATTTCTTTGAGAAATTAAGTGGCAGCTTTATAGAAGAAAAAAAACAAAAAACACTACCAGCCAATGATCTGTAAAAATGACAGACACAGCTAAAGAGTAAACTGTTGTTCTGTGTGTAAAACTGGGCCAGAATAAAAATAAAGAACCATGATTCTTGAAACCACATCTCTGGAACTATTTAACATGGTGGTTCACATGAAAATCCACAACTAAATAAATTCAAAGTTGCCATCATATATTGACTAATATAATAAAATGGCCAGTGAAATATAAAACTAAGTACAATTGTTAAAACAGTGTGTTGACCTACTTCAAAGAGGAATTATCACAGAATATGGAATATACTTTCTTAGGAAAATAATCAATAATTTATTACTTCTTGTCAATAATATGCCTATATGTACCAGTATATTTATTACTTCTTGTCAATACTATGCCTATATGTACCAGTATATTTTCTAGTAGTTTACAAATGTATTTGTGCAATTGTCTCACTTATCAAATTGTGTGTATATTTTTGATTAGCACATAATGATGCAAAACTTGCAAATTTTAAACAAATAATAACTACAGTCCCAACATGAAAACCTGGCAACCCAACAAAATAATGCCATTGCCATTAGACCTCTTTTATCAGTAATGTGATTTGAATGTTTGCTGATCTTCTTAAATCATTTCTAAGCAACCTTTCTATGACCTCCACCAGTTGGCAAGTTACTTGAGAGAATACTTTGACTATATTTTCAGGTTAAAAAAAATTATCAATTTGTGCTCAGTTCTAAAGGATTTATTGATATTTCTTTCAGACACATTACCACACAGCAGAGTAAGTGTGGGGTCACACATGATATCATAGAAATGATACTTTTACAGTGGAATTTACAGCAGGTAAGACATCTATCTTTATTAACATATACTGGTGTCTGAGTAAATCTGTCCCTGTAAAAAATCTTAATAGGGTCTACATCAGCACGCACAGGTATAGAAAGGTAACTGTGTATTCATGCACCTTCTCCATTACTAATCAATAGCCAGCTCAGCTAGCCTGCCTTCACTGGGGATCAACTATTGATATTTTCTCTCAACACACACTACAACATGGAGGGAACCGGGAGGTCATTCTGATAGGGGGCTCTCATTTTCTGTACTGTCAACATCAATAGATAAAGGTAAGAAGAAGTCTGGTATTTTTGAGCTGTACACAAGTACCTGGGCAAATGAGACAAATTGGAGAGTACAACTTTCAAAGTTTACCTTTTAGTGGCAAGTTGTCAAATGTTGATGATAGGGACAAAATTGGGGGCAAAAAATTAACCCAGCAGATAGCCTAAATACCTTTTAAAGTGCGTTGTATTTTTTCTAAATAATGTAGCATTTTCTCTTCATTCATGGAAGTCAAAAGCCTGGATTGAACATGAGAAAAATTAATCAATTTCCAAGTTTATTCCAAATTTAATATGGCTAAGAAATACCTGTCTTTTAAAGGTGTTTTTATTACAGCCAACTGAATGTTGTACCTTGTTTTGCACAATGACCAACAGGTAATTAATATTGATATTTTCTCTGCAAACACTTGATAGAGTACATAAATCAAGAGGTAATACTTCACAAAGAAATAACTGCAGGTGTGTAGCTTTTTGTTTCACCTAACTTAAAGGGATTTCAAATCTTATCAATATGTATAATTCTCTTTGTGTAATTTTAAAGGTAAAGGCATTTCCTAAAGTTCTTATAATTATTTCTCCTCATTACTCACATTACAACCGTCTTGTATCTTCAGTCAATGCCATATGCCACACAGAGGGCTAGGACCTAGTCATATCACCTAAGGTCTAATTCCTCATACAGCAAAATTTACATTTTCTGCAACATTTATTTTAATTTTTCAAGTAACATTTAACTAATCACTTTTAAAACTATTACTTTTCAATTAAAAAATTCCTTTTAACTTTGTATTTTTATTTTGAAATCTACAGAACACATTTTTATGGATTTAAAAATCTAAATAATAAATATATTATTATTTTTGTTGTTATATTTTCAGTAACCACAGGCAGGTTTATCAAAGCTAAAGCAATGAATGCCTTTATGTTGGAGGATGCCAGGGGGCCAGCTGTCCCCCACAGCCACTATCACACCCATAGAGAGGTACCCTCACCCTCTACAATACATACCCGCCAGGCCAGCAACAGCACATGGCAGATGTACTCTGATCTCATTGACACCGAGACCCCACGGGGACAGAACATACGCATGAATGTGATCTTAAGTAACCGCGGGATGGTTGAACTGGATTTATCAAACCGTGACCTAGTTGAAATGCCCACCGAGGTGTTCAATTTTACACGCATCGAGGTATTCAAGATGGCAAACAATCGCATCCAGGCTGTCCCTCCCGCCATTGCAGGTCTCCATCGCTTGCGGATATTTGACATGCATATGAATCAAGTGTCCCACCTTCCCGACACGCTGACAAACCTACACTACTTACAGGAGATGGACTTTTCCTTCAACAAGCTTAGGACTTTGCCACAAAACTTCAATTATCTTCAAAACCTAAAGGTGCTGAAACTTCGCTCCAATAAATTTGAGAGTGCCCCCCATCAGCTAGGCCATCTTGTTAATCTGCGTGTGTTGGACCTGCAAATGAACAGTCTGTGGCACCTTCCTTTCTCCATGCAAAACATGCGGGGTTTACGCTGGCTCAGTCTGGGGAACAACATGTTTGAGAATCTTCCCATTGTGGTATGCAACATGAGAAACCTGGAGGTCATCATTCTGAAGAATAATAAGCTGACAAACTTGCCAAATGACTTGGAAAACCTCAAGTTCTTGAAGGAACTCAACTTAGCAGGGAATAGATTTGTCACAGTCCCACGTGTGCTTCTTAACATGAAGAGTGTTCGCCACCTTAATCTTGCCAGAAACTTGCTGAAATCATTACCACATGATCTGAGCAAGATGGAAAAGTTGCGCACTTTGCATGTCCAGCGCAATCAGCTGCACTCCATCCCAAACAACCTCCCCACTGTAGAATACCTCAACGTCGCACAGAATATGCTGCGCAATTTCTCTGTCAGTCGTTATCGGAATCTACGCTACATCAACGCAAATAACAACCAATTAGAGAACCTGCCTTTAGGTTTGTGTGGTCTACCTAATGTAGAAGTGATCAAAGTTTGCTCCAATCAAATCAGGTATGTTTCCTTGGAGATTGCTCAGCTGCGCCACCTGCGCACCTTAGACCTTGGCTTCAACCTCCTGGTCAAGATTCCAGAGCCTCTGTACAACATGGACCTGGAGTATTTCAACATCAGAGGAAATCCAATCTCCACCCAAACCCTGATGGATGGAGATGACATGGAGGGAGGGGAAATCACAGACATTGACACACTGGTGACAACCTACCGCCACAACCCACCACGCCATACAAGGAACTCCCAGCAGGAAAATGGTGGTGTTTATGACTCCAGTGATAATGCTACCATACACATGAATGGTGACGACTCAGGGATATCTGGAATCATGGAGAATGAACCGCAGCAACGGACGCGTCAGAACAGGTCACATGGAAGGAATGTGAGATCACGAATTCAACGGTCACGTGCAGGCCAAGATGTGTCGCCACCTAGAGAGAATGGGTTGGTGAATGGTGATGGTAGGGCATCTCCAGTGATGAATGGCCATGTGCATCCAGAGGCCAGGGCTAAGCAGTCTCACCACCACCCAGCAGGCCAGGCCAGACAACGCGGGGGGATCCCTGAGAATGCCATGCTAATTAATGGGGATTTAGAACGACCAGGGAGCGGCCATCGCAAACAGACCCAACAGAATTCCAAACTGAAATTCTCACAACACATGGACAATAGCACTGAGCCATATCACCAGAAAGCTTTTGATCCTCGCCGGCAGGTGCAGCGTGCCTACAGTCAGAGCACAGACTACGGGCTGCTGGGAGTGGCCAACCAGGTGGAGGCATTCTTGAATGAAGACCTGCTCCAGCCTGTGATATCCCACAGATCTGTGCACCCCTCCATCACCAAGGCACTCTTCAAAAGGTGAGGACATACTGGCAGTGTAACAGGAATACACAGTCCTAAATATGTGTCTGCACACACACACACACACACACACACACACACACACGTGCGTGTGAGCGCATCCATAGTACAGTCTGTGATAGCATCTGTGCCGTGTTAGCTGTTACCAAAGAACTATTTATAAGGGTAAAATAGCTTCATCATAATGTAACATTTTTTATTGAATGGATATCTGCATATACATATAAAGAGCTGATTTTATATTTTTCAAAGTGCTCGGTGAAAAATACCCCAAACTTCTTAATTCTGCCATCTTCTCCTTACTTCTTCCTAACCTCTGGTTATAATTGGTGATTAGGGTGTCCTTGGCCATAATTACTTTCTAATGGTCAATTAATACAGTGCACTGTTTGTCAATTTCCACTTAATGGGGAGTGAATATGCATCAGCCTATGGTTATTACTCACTCATTTTAGGAGGAACAAGAAATTAATTCCCAATCAGATTTGTATTAGAATAATCTGGAAAGGATGAGCTTATGATTCTATAAAGCCAGATGGGTTCGTGCTAGACCATGTTTTGTAAATAATGAAGAAAAATCTAGGAAAACACTAAAATAAATGACATGTTTTAAATTTGTGGGTAATGAACACAATATTTATTAAAATGGTATTAGAATTAGTAGACTAACACCTAAAAGGTATTCAGTGTGTGTGCCAGGTAAATATAATAACAAAATGCACAAAATTTCTTTGTATTGCTGTAGCCACCACTTAACAACAATTGGGATGCAGGCAAAAGTTAAATCAATGCTAAAAACAAGGACATTTTATCATGTGATTTCGGTATTAAACCCTTTGTCACTATTTTTTAGTATGACCCAAAGAGTACTATCAACCAACACCAGAAGTGTTAAGTCAAATTATACCAAACACTATATTAATTAAATCTTTATCCTGGATTTCCACACCTCCAGGGAAATGGAAGACCAGGAGTGTACGCTGCTCTCCAGCTCTCCAGCACAGAGAGACTACAAAGTCAACCATCAGACATTTCTCTCCAGGAATCAGAATGGTCTTCTCCGTCTTCGAGCAGATTGCTTCAGAGTGACCAAGGCTGGCGGACTGTTCAGATCCACAGTGGATCCCAACATCAAGGTCTACTTCCCTGCTAATGCTGTCAACGTCACACTAGATGTTATATTGCAGGTACATGGACTTACACTTAGTTTACTATAGCCTATAATATTTGCCAAATGTATATTAAAAATTCAAAAAGTTCCATTTTTTTTCTCTTAAATGTACTTATTCTTAAGTTGAAGCTTTTGATCAGGATAAAATTACCAGCAAGGCCAAATACTGTCATTTGTATTGTTAACAGGTTGTCTAATTATTGTAATGTTACAGTATGCATGGGCGTAACTAGGCATACGCACGGATGCACTGTGCGTACAATTTTTTGGCCAACCATGGTATTATTTCATATAAATTTAGTGTATTTTTCACGGAATATAAAGAAATCCTCTGCTTATTAAAGTCACCTGTAAAAACAAATCCTCTGTATCAATTGTATAGGCACAATTGTTCTGACCCCCCCCTCCCCCCGTCTTGCAAACTGAGGTAAACAATGCCTGTAACCTTAACAAGTCCTATCTTAATCGTACATCTAACTAAAACTTCCTTTACCTCTTAATTGGAGGGTTCAGTGGCCCTCAACTCTTCTGTACCTTCTTTCTTGAGAATATCTGGCGATATTTATCTCAGGTAAAAATCTGCCTGAGTGTTATTTTCAAAGAGCAGCTCCCGCACTAGATAAAATCTGGACACCAGGTTTAAGAAGGAGCTAGAGAAACAAAGGAAGAATTTTTCCTGCAAAGCTTCAAAGAATTTTGACACGGACTTGACCCAGCTTACCCCTCCAAACTAACAGGGTGACAGGGGCAATTTTTACAAACAAATAATTAAACTTAGATATATCAAAGCTCTGTCGTGTCATAAAATTGGTTGTTTTTGGGAACCATGCATCCACATGTAAGGTGAATGAAACCGTATGTTAGTTCAACTCAGAGGATCCAGGATTATTCGAAGGGAGTTCCACATATGCGAAGCTAGCCTCCTTTTAAATAAATATACCGTTCTGGGTAATAAGAATATTGAAACTTTTTTAATTTAAATATTTCTGACTAAATGATCATTTTATTATTAATGAAAATTAAGCTGCGATGTGTGGTACATATGCTGTAATTGCGCTGTCCTTCATCTCTTGCGTTAGTCTACATTTTGCTGGGAATTTTAAAAATCTGTGCGTACAATTTTTAAAGGTCTGGTTACGCCCCTGCTTAGTAAATGTTTTATTTTATCATAACACTTTTAATTAACAACTTTGTAATATAATTCTCATTTGTAGTGAATTTAGCAATCTTTATTATTGTACAATCCAACTATTTCAGTTTCAAATAAACATTATTATTATTATTGTTAATCTGTATGACATACACTATATGCTATAGCTAAAGAGATGCTGAAGAGGGGGGGGGGGGTGGAATGGGGAAGGGGGTTGCCAGTTATGATTTATTGCCATATCAGATGTCACTTAGGAGGTATGAATTGTCCCTTTTTAAAGAAAAAATGATATGTTTTGATTTATAGACTTGTATTTTTCAGAATTGTGGTGTTTAAAATCAAAACATATGGCAGAGTGTTAATGTTTAAAAAAATTATTAGTACTGGCATTTTATTTGCCTATTAAACTTTATTAAAAAGTGCTAAGAAAACCTTGTCTGTTAATATCACAAGCTGTTAATTAGCTGACTGATATACTAGTATCCTTATTATGCTGAGGACTTTGCATGACCTGGTGCAATGGAATTACACCCCATTTCCATAGATTTTTAGATCGATCTATCCCTGTAGGGAGTCTCACTAAATTATTGTCAGCTTGGCCGGCTTAAGCGTCTGTCCCACCTACTAAAAGCTGTAAGGGGGTAATTAACTATGGTGCCCGCTCGGCTGACTGCAATTTAGCGTGAACTGCCAGGGAGTTAGGTCGATCTAAAACTTAATCTTTAGATCGATCTAAATCTCTGGGAAAGCACCCTTAGCCTTGAGATACATCCATGTACCTGAGATGTGTTGTGAGATGGGCAGAATTATAATGACCTCTTTGTTTAAGTTTCATAAATGCATTATAAGTTAAACTTTGTCATAACATACCTTAAATGTCGCTCTGTGTGATCACATATTGCTAACGCATGTTTCCAGTTTAGATGTGGTGATCTATGTTGTGATGACCCATATCGTAAGGATATCATTTTATTACAATCAGCAGTTAAGCCATACAGAGCCATTCTACCATCACCCTTAGTTTTACATGCACTTCAATTACAAATAAAGCGACAGGTAGATTTGATTATATCGACCTGATGGCTTACTGAGACAGATCTCACCAAGATGGGTCGGTCCCTTTTGACTGGAAATGCGGCATAAATGAGCAGTATACTGAGTTTGGTTGTGTTTAATCAAGTCAAGATCATGACCTCTGCTCTAAGAGCACAGAAGATGAAAGTTTGTCACAACAGTGTACTTTCGCATGTACAAATATGTAGTAACCCTAATCCCATTTACATATTGTTTTGTAGGCTATTGCAGTGTATCTGTACACATTGGTGACATTTTGAACTTGCATGCACAGTCAATGAAAACAGCCAATGTATATTTGGTATTGGGCTCATAGTCAGGTAAGTAATTATGCTGCACCTATTTGCGTGATGTTCATGCACTCCTGCATACATGTTCATATTCATAGAGTGCATTTTTATCAGTTTCGTGATGACAAAAGTTAACTGTCTCCTTGGTTTAGGCAACTGTTATTATTGTACACTCAATGGACTTGTTTTCAAGTATTGTTTTCATTGTATCTTGTGAAAAGGTGATTTAATGTAGATTGTTTTTTTAAGAGACTGAAAGTGTTTTTACATGTAACAGTGCCTGTGAGGAGATACATGTAGTTACAACCTTGATGAATGAGGACTGAAGATGTTTATACATTGACATGCAAACCTTCTTTAATATTCTAGGTTCAGCTTTAATTCCTTGCAGGTTGGGTTGCTGCACATGAAGCACTGGTGAAGTGACAGTCTACTTCAACAAAATTTATTTTGATTGCAACACATTTGGGACTACAGTCTAATAGTGACAGGGGAAAAAAAGAAAAAAGGCAAGTCTGAATCTCTCTCTCTCTCTATTCCTTTGATTGTTCATTTTTTGACAGTATTTTTGTTAATACATTTGTAAAAAATTGTTTATTTGGCTCACACAACCTAAAAAATAATTAAAGGCTGACTGTTACCTTGGGTTGGATATTTGTATGTTGATGGTGGTTATGTTTACTACATGCACCACTACTAACTGTGATTTTGTACAACTTTAAAAATTGGAATCCTACTGAAGAGCTAGTGACATTTTGACCAAGTGCATCATAGTCTCAGTCTGGAATTGTCAAGAGATTTATAGAACCATTGAAACTTGGTAACCTATATGCAGTGTGAACTTCAGTGTTTGTTCCTTTATCATCAGTATCAGTACATAGAAGGTGTATATATATAAAAAAATTCTGTATAAAGAAACCATGCATGTTTATACCTGTAATATATGTGACAACAGACCTGTAGCCAGCATTGTCAAAGGTGCACTGCCATGAGGTTCTGGTGAAGCTTAGGGGCCATTAAGAATAGAAGATCCAAGTATCAGCTGGTCCAAGGATCAAATATGGCGGACCCTACATGAAAGGAAGACCGCTTTATCCAGTAATGGTCTCTCCACCTTTCACACGACTCCCCATGCATCATCCCTGCAGGGACACAGTAATTAAATCTTGTCTCCATTGGACCGGATGCGTTGAGAGTCGTGTGAGAGGCAGAGTGACCATTACGGGAAGCAGTCTTCCTTTCATGTAGGGTGTGCCATATTTGATCTTTGGACCAATTGATACTCGGATCTTCTATTCTGAATGGAACCTTAGTGTGTTCATAGATCAAATGTTGATTCAGAGTGGACCTTTTACAGCCAAAGTGGCAGTTCCCTAGAAACTGCTGAACTCCCTTGACTACAGACCTAAAAAAGAACACTCTAAAGGTTAAAAGTGATTGTTAAAGCCTAAAATTTGATGTCTTGGTTTGTGTTAAAACCATCTTGTGTCTCCTGAGAACATATTGCCAGGATGGCCGGAGAAAAAATTGTATATTAATCATATAAATTGTATAATTTACATGTACATGTACATGTATAACGCTACAGGCTAAAATTTTAAATCAGCTGAATGCCTTTCAGGCAAAATATGTAGTGGTCACATGTTTATTGCGGCAGGTTTTTCTTATTACCACCTCCTGATACATGCACATGTACAGTAGCCCCATATCATTGAGGAAAATATATACTTTATAACTCTTAGCTAATGGTGTAATTTATTGCTTTTATCACCCAATAAATTTGATAATTTTAAGGAAAATACATGTAAATATACTTTATAAATCGTATCAAATGTTCTGATTTATTGCTATTATCACCTGATAAATTAGATAATTTTGAGGAAAATAGTTTCTAATAAATTATAACCTGAAGCAAATGTTCAACTTTATTGTTTTTATCACCCAATAAATTAGATTTTTTTTTTAATGTCTGCAAAAAAAAAAAAAAATTGGTCTTACTTCCATGATTATTTACCCTCAAGCCCAGGAAGGAGAGGTATTTGTCGCATACAAATACATCCATGAATACATGCACGGTGTGTGAACACTTTAGTTGTGAACACTTTAGTTCCTGTTGGGAAGCTACAATGTGCAGGTACACAAAGAATGAATTGAGTTTATCTAGGTTGAAATTTTAAAAAAATCTAGTTCATAGTGTATTGACATGTGAACCTTCATGCATGCACATGTGAACATTAACATATCAAAGTACTGTACTGGCAAACTTACAGCCTATATTGTATAAGATAAGATTGAAGGCCTTTTTTTGGTCATATATGAAGCTTATGCTCTTAGTCATGTAGTCACTAACTGGAGGATGTACTTTATATGGAATAGAATTGTGCAGGATGGCAGTATCAGCCTGAGACCTTTCACTAGGTAATTATGACGTGGATGGACAAATTTACTTACAAGTTTGTAACATGGTAATTAAGTGCCATTAATGATACAATTATGTAATATAGACTCCTGTATTTTAGCCTCACCCAAACTTGTACTTAAGTTTTCAGTACAATACATAGTGCAGAGTTTGTAAAATAAATGAAATACAAACAATAGAGTAAAGCATAATTGCAATCAACACAGAGTTTTATGCCATTAGTCATTGTCCCATGTATATAATGATACTTATTTTGCTGAGCTGTATTTTTAAAACTGCAAGTGGCAGTAAAACTGCTCAAAGAGAATTAAGACGTACAAATTAGCATAAATATGTTGACATTTATTGTGGGTCATGATATCTTTACTATAAAAACCTAAGGATTTAGTGTTTATGAATAATTTTCCTCATGTTGTAAAAATATTTTATCTAGGTAAAGCTGTTACCTATTTATTTCTGACATTTTCAAGTGGCATTGACCTTGATTAAACTTAGAGATAAAAAACTTTGTTGACAAATGGTTTCCACTTCTATAGCCTTATATCACCCTAACCTCCAAGTTCTAAACTGTCCTCGTATGAATTTTTTAAAGATCACAGTTTTGCTGTAGCGTGTACTCACAATGAATCTTTATTGTACTAGCTACTGCACACTAACTCCACATAGGCTCTTGCTGAATTCAATCAGATTAACATGCCTTCTCCTGGCAATCAGTAAAATACAGAAAAGCTATTATGCAAGTATGTTGTTAAAAAAGAGGAGGCGTTTAATCTTATTGCATTCAGCGAGAGTCCCCGTGGAATTAGTGTGCAGAAGACAGTGTGAAAGACTGCTGAAATTGTGGGATTGACCTGTTTCCATAACCTGGATGTTTGCTAACATTTTTTCACTATCAGTTCAAGACAAGCAAAAAATGGAAACAGGATAACCTATGTTTCCATGCCCTTAAATAAATTAGTTTAGCTAAGATTTATTATGTTAATCACACACCTCCAGTAGATAACAGATAATACCATAATACCTGTTTACATGTCTTTTTGTTGACTCAACCTAAATTAATTTTGAGACATTTACCTGGGCAACTTTTTGCTACCTGTCCTTACGAGGTGATTTACAAAGTGTGTGTGTGAGGGAGCATTCAGATAGACACATGGTACTAAGTTGGGCTGGCCCAACTCTGTGGGGGTTCTCACTTAGTGCAATGTACTTAACTGAATGACACAGCTCCTCAAACAGCTAGGGGGTAATTACTATTCGTGTGGTGTTTAAGCTGATTCTACTGATTGCACTTTAGTGAGAATCCTCCANGCTGTAATTACGCTGTCCTTCATCTCTTGCGTTAGTCTACATTTTGCTGGGAATTTTAAAAATCTGTGCGTACAATTTTTAAAGGTCTGGTTACGCCCCTGGTATTGATTGCTCTTCTCTGCATCCTAACAGCAAAGTGTATTTCATTATCTATATGCTGTGTTAGAAACTTTGTATGGTACTGTAAATTGTAATGTATTGCTATAGTTGTCACTGACATTAAAGATTGTATTGTCATAGTTGTCCATGACATTAAAGATTATGTTGTCACAGCTGTCACTGACATGAGCTCTGTAATGATGTACTGTAGATAGAGAAAGTAGACCAGGAAGCTCTTCTGGAGGTGAAGAAACAAAACAAAATAGTGGACAACATCATTTCCCTGGGTCACATTATTCACCTAGGACAGAGCAAGAATGTCAACTTCAATGAACAGGTGAGGTGATTGCTTATTGATATCTCAGCACTGGTACCCATGTCATACCCCCAGCTACAGCTCCATACAGCACTTATTGCAGATAGTCTTGAAGCTACACACACAGATAGAAATCTGTTCAACACAGTCCAATTTATTTTTTGACCCAGACCTTAGCATAATTATTGATAATCTTGTATGGTTCTTAACAAGGCACAAAACAAATTAAATTCAGTAGAAAACTTACTAATTTGCTGGACATATAACAATAATTATACTATTCACTACACTGAACTAATCATTATCAGTAAGGATTATTTCTATCGAATACTACGCCAGGTTACCCTGACAATCCCAGCGCCCCCTACACCCAAGAGGGGCAAGCTCCAAATCTTGACCTACAAGGATGATAACACATGTGTCCCCTCGACCACAGGGTACAGGATCAACAATGGCTACATCACCATCCAGGCATGGCACTTCTGTGGGTAAGTCTTTACAGAAATCACCCTCTCTCCTCTTCTCTCTCCTCTCACTCACTACTATACAACACATCATCAGTAATGACCTTCACCAGTGAATATACCATTAACCACATAAGTGCATTTTCATTTTTATATCGTGTGACAAGTTATCCAATACTTGAAAACACACTGATTCCCCAAAATTTGTGTTTGTGTGCATGCATGTGTGTGTTACAAATAAAATTACTATAATAATGATGCTTTGAATTTAACATTTTGAATTATTATTTAAAAAAAAAACTAAATTTTCTCTTAAATAGCCTCTACTCTGTAATTTTGTAATCAAAAGTGATGTCTGACAGTTTCCATCTCTCCAAGAATATTAAAGTTCACAGTAACCAAAGTCAGCTGCCAAAGTCAAACTATATCTGCCATAACTATAGAACTATGACCTATGCCAACATTAAATGTAATATCCATCACTCCACATTATGCCTGTATAACATGGCTGACACTTCACTTCTCTCCCACTTAAGCAGGAAAGGTGCAGTCCTTACAAAATCCAGGTGCAAATACAAGGCCTGCAAGTCAGTGGAACAGTTCCTAAAACACATGTACATATAAACTGTGTGGAAGGGCAGTACAGGAGACATGGCAAGTTAAAGGTTAGTTCAAGGTCAGAGGACAAGGTCATGGACAAAAGAACAAGTTTACTTTCAGCTGACAGCCAAATGAATAGCTCAAGAAGAAAAGTAAACCTTCACTTTCTGAAACAGTTATTCTAAGCCATGCATACAAAGCTCATAACATAAACAAATAGCAGCAGGGCACCCATATTTTCATATCACAAGGTCAAGGTCACATCTCAATACAAGGAGAGGCATGAAGATCTGTCTTTGAAACATTTCTTATGTATCAAGTATCACCTAATATAAACTGACCAGAATACCATTCCATAACACAGAGCAGTTGGTAAGGCCAAGAACAGATGAAAATACAAGGTACACCTAGACTACACCTCAGCTACAACAGTTTGGCTGCAAGAGTTTGGCAGGATTAAATAACTTAATGTTTTAACAGTAGCAAGTAGGACTATTTGTGCTCAATTAAAATGGTGCATGCACAACTGCTCCACCAAACCTAGATACATAACACAGCACTCTACTTGGGTGGAATAGCTAGAACTGTGCAACAGTCTAACTGTAACATGAAATAGAAATGGAGTTATCACATAAAAAGAATTCCTTGTGAATATTTTAAATACATTAGGAAAAATACAATTTAATGTTTATTGGTAATATTTGAAGTACATGCAGGAAAATACAATTAAATGTTTATTGGTAATATATTAAGTACATTAGGAAAAATACAATCTATGTTTATCTGTAATTCAAATTGTGTGATTCAAATGAAAAATGTGTATACACTTCATTTTGTGATGAAGATTTGATGTGTGTAAAGGCATAACAAAACTATCATATATACATAAAACCTTTCTGAGGTGATTCTGCCTAACCGAATATTTGTACACAAACATTTTCTCCATTCTGATCTATTTTGATCATTATATCTCTAGGAGTTATCTTTAAATTATTCTGCTATTGTAATTGAATGTTTAATCCACACTTTTCACACTTGTTTGTATTCTTGATAATTGACATCAATATGTTAACATCTGAATCATCAAAAACCACTGCATTATTGCATGTGTTGAGAATCTTCCTATCACTTTGTTTATGTAAGCATAATTATCTATCAGTTGGATATTCAGTAAACATCTCTATTTAAAATTTAGTATTGCAAACTTTTTGTTATGAAATCAAAATTTTATCTAGCAAACATGGACTGCACCACATATCATCTTGGGGCAAATAAATGCACTGCTTCTTAATAATTCCAAAAAGGCAACCTGTTTTATTAAATGTAATCTCTTAAAACATTGATTAACAAACCACCCAATTTTCTGCTGTATCAAATCGCATCAAATTGCAATTAACACTATTTCTTGTAACAATTTAGCAATTAGGGCTTTATGATATTCATCTAAGGAGTTTATACACTTGACTTTTGTCTGGAAATGTCGACTAAAATCTGAACTGTAACCATACATAATGTACTTCTTGTGTTTTTATCAGTGAGGTTATCATTCAAATTCATGATTCAATAAAAAGAACAAAATAACTTGCAAATTCAACACTATGGAGATTGTGTTTTTTCTTCAATGCATTAGTGAGCACTTTCTGAGGCTAAGTAATGCATCCACAATGTTTTTCAACTGATTAACAAATTAACTGTTTCATAAATCTCTTAGCCTACATATATATGTATGCCTTTCACAACAAAAACCAAGATCTCTACATGACATAATAATTCACAAAATGGAAAAAAAGTTACCTTCATAAAAGCCTGGAAATGAATGTATTTAACTTATAATCATTACTTTCTAATGTAGTTTATGAATGTCATAAGGATACAATGTATTGGACTATGTTATGTACTCACCGTTATAGAAGAGGAAAGGAATGTTGTAGGCAGGCAGAGAGTGCTGTAGTGTGGGACTGGAGACAGTGCACCTCAGCAGGTACTCCTGACCATCTTGACCTGCTGTGTTCTCATGAATGTACAGATTCTGGGGAAAGATAAAATGATTACAATAACAAAGTACTAATAATAAAAGATAATAAATCATAAAATAAATGATAACAGTTCTTATTTTTATGAGTATGGCATTTCTTAAGGAAAATACATGCTAGATGTATTGGCATTGTTTCCATGAATACAGTGACTTGGCGGAAAATAAATTAATGCATGTTCAAGTCGTAAGAAACCATTAATGTAGCTTTTCCCCCCACCATGGACACTTCCACTCCTGTAAACCCCTACCTGTATTGTAGCTTTTCCCCCCACCATGGACACTTCCACTCGACTAGCTTTCCCTGCTAACTTTGGAATCTCACTGACTTTGGAGTTACAAGTCACTTCAATGTACACTTTCCCTTCAACTTCTAGGCCAGATGGGTTATTGTAGTTGTCCTGAAAATAAAATAGATGTTGGAAATATAATTTGATACTCAAAACTATTATAAATTCTTTTTGAAATGTTAATTATTTGTGGTTATCTATAAAAACCTACTGACTTGAAATGAAAACACTTTTCAACTGTTTCAAATAATAATTTCAATCACTTCCAAAAGAATAAATCATTGTTTCTAGATAAAAATTAAGTAAACAATTTTAATTTTAAATTAGTGAGCAATCACTGTACTGTGAAAGGCAGCCCCAGCCTACCCTGAGCTCCATGTGTAGAGAGCGGATGAGGCACCTGCTGGTCAGCTTCTGTGTGTTAGACACTGTGTATGTACCTGTGTCCTCCAGTGGAACCAGTTTACTGGGGGGACCTGCCTTCACACAGATCACTATCTGGAAATATTAACAGGAAGATTACCAGAATGGGGGAAACAAAGTAACTTTCTGTTTAAAGTTTTTTTTTCTAAAATCTATTTGATTGCAAGACTATAATGAACTTGTATCATCAAAATCAAATATAAATGGGTTAGAATCATTGGGGCAACTGGCAAAGAAGTCTGCTAGCACTTCTCTGTCCTCAGTGACTTACCAAATTACTGAGCAATTCCCAGCTGCTGTCCTTGTACACAAACATGATATGGTACGTTCCTATCAATTCTGGGACTTTCCTCTTAGAGAACAAAAATGTCCCTGGTGCGTCTGACTTCTTTCTGGCATCTGGGACAGAAGACTGAGCCTACAAATGATGAATGCTGATAACATTCTACAACTTAAAGGTAAGTAAATACATGAAGATATTCAATTACACAACTTGGCTGAAAACATGACAGCCTAAATGACTGTAAGAACAAATAATGGCATGAGTGAATCCATCTTTTCCCTTTTTTCACTTGTATTTCATATTGTAAAGAATATTAAACTTAGTTTGGATTTTAGACAAATAATAATAATAATAATAATAATAATCAATCAATCAATCAATCACTTGATGATGGGATAGATCAGTGAGTAATTAATTTCTTGAAGGAATGCAGAAGTCCATCCATCAAACAGGAGCCAGTCTAACCTTCACAGGGGGTCTGTCCTCCATCTTGCCTTCTGACTTCCACATTTTGAGGGCAATGTTGGCAGGTTTGGCCCCTGCCAGCAGACTGCCGTCCTCCGCCTGGATACACACTTTGAACTCTGGAGCAACATCACAACTCGTATCACTTTGTTTACAATATGAGCAATACAAAAATTCAACAAAAAATTAAGCTAACTGTTTGGGTGTTACAAATAATTAATTCATATGACAAGTTTTTCAAAGATTTGATATTTCTTCATACACTACTATATATTTTTTATTGTCAAGATTAAAAGGCATTTTTACAATAAAAAAAAAAATCAAGAAAAAAAACTGTATTTAAGATCCTGAATTATTAATTGAAATGACAATAAAATATAATTTTCAAAGTGTATAAAATGGTCTAGATTATCACAATAATACCTATCAGCTTGGAAAATATATATACATTAAGATTTGTGTCCATATTTGTTGATAGAGCAGTGAATATTGAACATGCTGTTATATATCCTGAATAAAAATGCAGTTTCCAGGACTAAGCAAGGTCCAGCTCCACTTTTCACAGGATAGAAACAATGACTTTGTGAGCAGGTAAAATGATCAATCTTGGATAAATGAAAAAGTGTAATCAGTGCCATGTTTGAAATCACTCCTAAATTATTCACTTAACTCACCAGGCAATGTTCCTCCTGCAGTGTACATTGCACTCTTATCATAGTCCACTGCTATAGCCACTGGCTTACTGGAGTCTGCAGATATTGAGATTTTGATCTTGGGTCCTGCTATGGTCAGCCTGCCCTGGAATGCCTTGGGTTGGATCTCATAGACTCCTCTGAAAGTATCAATGGAAGGCCACAATGCAACATGTTTCATGGTGGGAAACCTTTAGCTGCTTTCTTTCCAACCAATTTGTGGCAAAAGAGTCCAGTATAAACCAGCTAATGGTCAGTGAGTAACAACGTCTACTCGTATCAGTCTGTTGAAGGGCTACATCCAGCTTGTGTTAATAATTATCATGTATGATCCAACTAACAAGCTAATGAACATTTTTGCCCAAGTATAAACAAATTATGTTCTATTTCTTTTACATGGATTAACAAAGATGATAAAGAATATATTAAACAGAAATGCAGTTAATAAGACAGAGCCCAGTGCAGTGTTTACTCAGCCTATGTCTAGGTGTGTACTTACTGTTTCCCAGTCACTGTCATGACACCAAAGCTGGCCACACCATGACTATCTGTCTTTATAGGCTGTGGCACTGGGGTCAGCTGAAAGACAAAACTACCAACAACTACAGTGTCTGCATATAAATAGAACTTCTTAACCTATAAACCTTGGGATAGTCTTAAATGGGATCAACATCTATTAATATATTTTTACATTGTTAAAATTACAATTTCTTAAAAAAAAAATAAAACAAATGTTCATTGTTTTTTCAAAAAAGAACAAAGTAGCTTTTAATGATCAGCTACTGTTACAGGGCAGTGGTGTTTAACCTTGGAAGTTAAAAAGGATTTCTTTCCACATGGTTATAATAGTTATCAATCAACAGCATGAGGCCTCTCACCCAGCAGCCAGCACTCACCTTTATGCCGGGGTCTTTGTAAAGCTGCACCCTGACATCTGCCTCAGAGGAGGGGTTGCCGGCCTCGTCACACAGCTGCAGCACTAGTGGCTTGGGGAGTTTACAGTCATTGAACACACTGACAGTCTGGAAATTAATTTACCACATTGTCTGTATATACAAGATAAACAATCTTTGTATAGCAGTTGACTCACTATGCATCACCCTTCATGTGCTATGTTAGAAAGAAAACAACACTTAAGGTGACAGACTTCTTACATGTGTCTTGAACATTTTAATCTTCATATCAATGACCTTTATACTGTAGAAACATTTAATATGTCATTTTGACAGGAGCATTTTAATCATGTCTTGCTACGGAACTAGTTATGTATTGATATGCTTACTGCTATGTCATTTATTAGTCTACCTGATCAGTCTTCCAGTCACGTAGTGTCATCTGTGTTGGTTTTCCTGCGGTCACTTCCACCCTGACATAATCCACCAGCTCCTTCCACCTCACACATACTTCCTTTGGTCCAAGACCAACATCTCTGAACTTTATACCCTCAATGTCAAAACTGCAATTCTGAAACAGAAAAAAAATTGCTCATGAGACACATTCTTCAAATTTCAAAGTTATAGCTCATAATCAGCAATTCTAGTACTAGTATACACATGTATTCATTTTTTAATATATTACCACCTCAAGGTTGAAAGACATTAAAAAAAGGAAATAAAATTGCACACAAAATTAACATAAAGCTAAATAATAAGGGTTGACATATTAAAATATGACAGGTAGGAGTCTGCATATACAGTGACTCTACAGGGTTGACATTAAAAGTAGAAGTAACATCATGGATATGACCTAAAAGAGTGGGCTTTGCAACTGATCACATACTAAATTGCGCTATGGAGTGTCATTGGCAAAAACATCTGAACAAAATACATTTATGATCTGTTCTATCTTTTTAAAATTAGACATGGAATAATTTGTATTTTAAGACCAGATGTGAAGTACAGTTTTTTTTAAATGAAAAATATTAAAGTTTTAGAAAAAATCAAAAATGCCAGTGGGGCCCCCTAGATGTAACTTAAATACAAATCATATAAAAATTAATTCAACTTCAAGAAGATAACAGTATACACTCCATGGACAGTGAGAGAAGAATGAGATAAAGTGCCAGTCCCCCTTACCTGTCCCAGTCCCCCTTACCTGTCCCAGTCCCCCTTACCTGTCCCAGCCCCCCTTACCTGTCCAAGTCCCCCCTTACCTGTCCAAGCCCCCCTTACCTGTCCCAGTCCCCCTTACCTGTCCCAGTTCCCCCTTACCTGTCCCAGTCCCCCCTTACCTGTCCCAGTCCCCCTTACCTGGCCAAGAGCTCTTACAGTCTCTTCTACCAGCAAGCCCTCTGCTGTCACAGACAGATCCCTTAAGATGCCGTGATAAAGCTATAGAGAAAAATTTAAGAACAAAATCATCGGAAGAACTCAATTAGTGGAATTCTTTGTGGTCTGTATGATTATCACATAGAGATTGTACATTCATTAAAAATGACTTTATATTGTGCTGACATAGAAATAACCAGCATTTTGACAGCTCAAATGACCCCCAAGTTTCAAGAATCTAGAACATTACATCATCTCAAATGAACTAATTTGAAAAACAGAATTGCTCTTTTACCTTTAATTCCAGATCTTTTCTTTGTACCATTTTCTTTAATTGAATGTCCCTTCATAAAAACCTTTATTAATAGTGTTCAGTCTCAACCTCCAGAGTGTCTATCATCTCTACAGGTTTATACATAATCATCATCAAACAAACCTTCTGAATATCATTTCCATATTTATCCTGCAGACGGACTAGAATGTGAGATTCCATGACTTCTCCCAGGCGAACTTTTCCAATATGGCCATCACTGCATTTACATTTGATCTGGGCTGGCTCACCTGTTATTCCCCTAGAAATATCCAAAACTCTTACAAATATTTTCATATTACACAGTATAATATATACATTTTAATTGAAACTTTCTGAATAAATGTACATGTTGAAATATTGACCATCCAATCATTTATAAAGATCACAAGATACATCAAGATCATAAGATAAGGGACATCCTGGCCCTTCAGCTAAATAGAACACGAAGACACAGGGGGACACAAACAGTCCCTATCATTAAACCATGAAAAAGAAGAAAATAATTCAATTACTTGGTATTATATGAACATTTCACCTTCATATTCCTTAATGCTATTGCAATGAAAATTCTTTTCTAATTACATCACAAGTGTCACTGATAATGATCTCACATTGACATCATACTTCCTTCCATATGTTTATAAAACAAACAATAGGAAAGCAACACAAAGGCACCAGACTGCTTACTTGACAGTAAAAGAAAACTCCAGATCAGAATCCCCAGTGATGTTGATGTGGCAGTATTTGCTGTCATGGACTGAGTTGGGGATTTTGATATCTGGAAAATGACCACTCTGGACAATATCTTTGGACAGTTTAGGTGTCCAGTTAACTTTGATTTTGCCAGCAAGGATGCCATCCACCTTCAACTGCTTGCCTGCCTCATCCATCAGAGTGAAGGCTGGAACAGAACAGATATATATCATCCTACTAAAACAGGCAGTAAACCCTCCCCTGCATAGAACAATATTTACAGAACTATCCTGTGCTCTGGTTTACCTGGAAGCTATCCTTCATCAGGTGTATGTCTGTGTGACTTCCCAGCCTATGTCAACCTCACCTTTTATAAGACATTTTATTATGGTCGCAAAGGAATTTTATGATGGCTCCCAAGTTTTAAGGAATTTTAGATGTTCAGAAAAGAAAATGTATTACACTACATTCAGATCTTCTTACGCCTTCCTGAAAATATTATATTTATGTTTCTCTATGCCAAACAAAAATCTTGATGCTTGAAAATACAAGCTTACATTCTAAAACATACAAGTATTGCCATCATGAATTCTCCTAACTTCAGATGTCTTAATTTTACCTAAATCTCAACCTAATAACATCTGAATCATTCTTCATTTACCCCAATCTTTTATATATATATATATATTCCCCAGCAACCCCTTTAACTTCTGAACCATTCTTAATTTACCTAAATCTTTTATATATTCCCCAGCAACCCCTATAACTTCTGAACCATTCTTAATTTCTACAGTTTTCTCATCTGCATCCACATATGTAAGCACCATCTTTGCTGCCTTGGAACTTGGAAGTACTGAGATCTTTCTCTCCACTGCCTTGATTTCTTTCATATGCTACAAAATACAAATTCATCTGTGCAGTTATAGATGATCACATTTGGCCTGAAAAGCCAGTGGGGCAGTATTTATGTCACGAGAAAACAATTTAAAATGTTTCGTTTTAGAAAATGCATTTAACTGGAATGCAGTTTGTTGTAGAAATCATGAAGCTGATATAAAGCATATACAAAAAGCTTTGGGTATAGTATCTCTTTACAGTATTCCCCATGTGGCCCTCTCTAGTATGGTAATGTAGAAACATCTGCCATCAATTGGTGTTACCTGTAATTCTATTTTTGCTGTAATCACCATCTGTCCTTTGATGTCTTTGATGTGGATGGGTCCCCCAGTGAGAGTGCCCTGCCCAGTGCTGGAGCAGACCACGCTGTAGGATGGGGTGTTGGTAGGGCCCACAAACTGTAGAAAGAACAGAATGATAACATTATTGGTAGGACCCACAAACTGCAGAAGATACAGATAACATTATTGGTAGGGCCCACAAACTGCAGAAGATACAGATAACATTATTGGTAGGACCCACAAACTGCAGAAGATACAGATAACATTATTGGTAGGGCCCACAAACTGCTGAAAAAACAGATAACATTATTGGTAGGGCCCACAAACTGCAGAAGGAAAAGATAACATTATTGGTGGGGCCCTAACTGCTGAAGGAAAACACTATGTAACAGATAACATATCAATCTGTCTGACTATCAACTACTCAGCTGTTTTGTTGCTGTTTCTCAATCAAACATTCCTTTCTCCTTACTCTTTATCTTGTATTTCTCTCTCTCTCTCTCTCTCTCTCTCTCACACACACACACACACACACACACACACACACACACACACACACACACACACACACACACACACACANGACATTCCCTGAACAGTCTAACACCTGGGCCCGGTTTTATAAAGGACGTTTACCACTAACCGGTGGATAAGCCTAACCAGTGGATAATTTCTCTAAACACTGGTTAACTAAACGGCGGTTAAAATTGTGTTTTATAAACAGTGTTTAAACAGCCGGTTAGTTAACCAACGTTTAATTTTCTTAAATAGTGTTTGGTTGCTATGAACAACTTATCCAGACCATATTTGGAAATAAAATTCCCCAGAATGCAATAGGTTTCTATAAACAAAATAAAATATATATGATAATTTATTGCTCATCTGTTGTCTGCTTAAATCTACTGTTTTGAAACATGTCAGTGTCTGACAAGAAGAGAAGTAGAAAGCAAAACTGGACCATTAGTGAGCAAACACTACTGGTAGAATTGGTTGAAGCAGACCATTGCACAATAAGGAACAAGCACACATCAAGCTTGGACAACAAGTCCAAGCTTGATGTGTGGCTCAGGATTAGTAGACAAATCACTGCTGTTGGCACAGCGAACAGGACACACGAGGAATGCAAGGAAAAGTGGAGGCAGTTGGTAACAGCCGCCAAGAAAGCCCACTGTGGGCTGCGCAGCCACAGTGGCAAGACTGGGGGTGGAGCTCCTGCTCCACCCCTGGATGCCACAATGGAGAAGATAATTAATTTGCACAAGGATGACCCCGCTTTCAACGGGGTATCGGACGGTTTTGAGACAACAGGTATTTAATGCCTAATTTTTTCTACAATTATTAATTTAATAAAAAGATAAGTAATTTTATAAATGCTATGCTGACGATAATACATTATGTCGTCTGCTTCGGAGACGTGCATATCAAATGACCTTGACCTTACGCTCGTCGAGACATTTTCTATTGGTGGAACTCAAGAAAAAGCAATTAATGTGATTGTTACCTTTTATTATGATAAAAACCTGCATTGAACACTTGGACATGTATTTCCATCCAGTTCATTGTTCTTTGCCTCTTTTACTCTAAGATAAAACCTCCGATGCACTACTGTCGTATGTCCCATTCCACGCCGTCGAACATGTTTCAGAAAAACTACAAAAAACACTATTTTCTCGACTGTGAAAAGATCTAACAGAGACCGTAACCATATGTCCAAGCATACTGATAAGTGCATACTTCTTGTTCCGTGTACTGTAAGATAAAACCTCCGATACAGTAATTCCATCATTTCCTGAATGGTCCCGCGCCAGCATCGTGCACGTTCCAGCAAAACTTTAAAAAAAAATTTCTTCCACTGAATAGATCTAATGGGCATTGTTGTCCTCAAACTAAACATGTTGATAAGTGATTATAATCCCAATATCCTATCCAATCCTGGCAAATGAGTTAAAAAATACAGCGTAAGCTCCTCCATGAATCAAACGGTGAAACCGAACCGCGTTTGAGCGCACTTGTTTTGTCCGGTTCAAAAGTGAGTGACAGCTCAGAACTGGGTCACGAGATCATTGCGTGCCAGGCAAGAGTACTCGAGCAAAATTACAATGGACTTGTGTCTCTTCTGTTTATATAAAGAAACTTAGATACCCACTCTCCCACATACACTAAAATAAGGGAAATTTGCTAATGCCATGTCCATGTCATTTTTACTCTCACAAATGATATCATATTGTATCAATTCTCTAAAATCAAAACAAATATTTTATTTCAATAAAATAATTAAAATAACTGAAAATGCAAATTGTTTTAATTGATGTGAATTTTCTTTGTTCTTTGAAGTGGCAGAAATCCCTAATTTGCAAGGAAGTACAGATGATATAGTTACAGTGGATTTTGAATCACTGTTAGATGATTTAGATTACCAAAGTATGTTTATAAATCTATGTACTTATTTTAAAAAATGAATAAATAAATAAATAAAATAATAATAAATAAATAATCATAATAATAATAATAATAATATCATAAAAATATTCAAAAGGAAACTGGTTTCTTTGATGTTTGTACCAGATAATGGATAGTTATTAAAAAAAGGAAAAAAAGTAAAATATACTAGTAGTAGTGTTATACAATGTATGTATTCTTTTATTACAGGTAAATATTATATAATTTTACAACTATTTACAGATCCTCCACCATTCCCATCCCCGCCTCCCGTCCCCACTACAAGCACAAGTCAAGATGAACCCCAAATTCCAAAGAAAAGAAAGAAGCATTCATGTAGCATGTCAAGAACAGGTAAGACATATTGAAGAGCCAATACAGACTTCAGTTATACACAATATATATAATAAACTGTCTGTTCTTGTACCGAAAGTACCTGTCTTCATTTGTTATGTTAAGTAAAAATAACAATTTTTTTAATAAAACTTTTGCATAAGTAACATTACAGCATATGATATATCTCTTTTCTTCATTGTAGAAAAAACAGAATCAGAGTTGGAGAGTCTACAGAAGCAAGTTTTGAAGCAGGAGGCAATTAATGCCAAGCTAACTGAGAAGAAACTCCTTTTAGAGATTCAATTATTAGAAAAGCAACTTTTAGCATAATAGAGCTAGTTAATTTATTGCTAACAAAAGTTGCTTCTCTAACAGTGGGATCTCTAAAAGCACTTTCTTTCAGATTAATTTTTATTATTCATTATTAGTTCCTCCTGTCCAACGTAGGGCATTGGGTGGCAAACTTTTTCAAACTTGTCTGGTCGGCAGCGGCCTCCTCTTTCTCCTCCCACCTGATGTTGCCTCTTTGCAGATCATTCTGGAAGGTTCTCCTCCAGATTATCCAGTAGTTGTATAAAATGTTTAAATTGTGAAATGTTTATGTATATCAATACTCTTTGTCAATAGCTAAGCAGGCATTTTATTGTTTTTTGCAGATTTACATGGATTATAGTTGTATACATGTTTCTAAAATGTTAAATGTTAATATATCTTTACTCATTGTCAATTACAGTATTAAAATATTATTGGTTTATTATTCAACATATGTACAATATTGACAGTATACATGTACTAGTAGTAAATGTTACAGTAGTATGCATATTATACATGTAAATAGATCAATTTATTAGTTCAAATAATATTACAATTCTTTGTACTTGAAACTTAAATTTAAAATTAAACAGTATATATTACATTAAAATATATTAAAGTTTTATATTAAAGTTTTTCCTTCTTGGCTTTATTCATAGTTCTTCTTATTATTATTAAGAGAAAAATGCCCTTGCCACATGGTCCCTTACGGCCCTACCATCTTCAGGGCCATTGTACTGAATTCCCATATCTGGGCCTGGACCAGGGTCATTTCCATCTGGCAGGGGCTCATTCCTAATAATGGCTATGTTGTGCAAGACTGCACACGCACCAATGATATTGCAAACCCTCCCTGGTGACATTCGTAATTCAGCATGAAGGCAGTGAAATCTGGAAATAAATAGAACACCCAATAGAAGCAAATAATGTATGTAGACAGCAAAATTTGGAATTTATTAAGAAAATAGTTACTTAATAAAATAATAGAATATTAAAGTATTAAATGCATATGCTGGTACATTTTTAAATGAAGCAAAGAAACAGTGCCCCCTCCCCCCCCCCCCCAGCATGTGCCCCCAGTACATATATGTTCACAAACATAATTTTATAGCAATTTTTGGTGGATATTGCCAGCTACTTACCTTCTTTTCCATATTCCAAATACTCTCTCAATCAATGTTCGTGTTACCTTATGGGATCTGTTAAACCTCTCTTGGGCCCTGGTGGTGGGATTCAGGTATGGTGTTAGCAGGTATGGTTTGCAGGCATACCCGCTGTCACCAAGAAGTGTACCCAACTCTGCTGTATTATGCCTTGCTAGCTCTCTTCCGAGAGAGGAGGTGTTAAATACATGAGAGTCGTGGACACTCCCTGGCCACTGTGCCACAATATTTGTGAATTTCCCTGCGATTTAATAAATATTTATATTTAAACATTTTATATTATAATTATTTCATGTTTTATAAAGAAACCAAAACTTAACCACGCCCTTTTTCAATTTAATAATCAGGGGGTAGCTTCATATAACAAATGGGCATGAAGAACAAAATCATCATCGCACACATCGATTAGTCATGCCTTATTTACATTCTGAAGGAATGCACTCGGTGCTACTCGGTGCAAGGTGAAAGGTCATATTACAAAGATGGCCGCTCACTCGCCGGAATGACAGTGTCTCATCTACAGTTATTTTTCACTTTTTTGCCGGTAAGGACCATTAGTTTGAATTAAAATTTCTTAACAAAATACACACCTTTGTGGTCACATACGGCCTGTACGTTAATGCTGTGAAAGTTTTTTCTGTTCACGAACGCTGGTTCGTTTTCACTAGGCGCTTGAATCCTCACATGAGTGCAGTCAATGCAACCAATACATCCCGGAAAACCAGCTATCCTAAAAAAACCGTCCCTCACACCTGCCCTAGCCTGGGGTGTAGCAGGAAATTTGACGAAGTCAGCTTGATGTTCACACAGAGCCAAGGCCACCTTTCTGACCACTCGACTTACAGTCGATTTGCTGGGCCCAACGGTGTCCCCCACAACTTGCAAAAAAGAACCGGAGGCGAAAAATCGCAGTGCTATTAGAAGTTGCTCTCTAACACTCAAAGAATGATTCCTTTCTGTCTCTGGAGCTATTTGGTTGTGAAGTAAGTTTTCTAAGTACAGTATCGAATTTCTACTGAATCTAAATCTTTCAATGAGTTCTTGCTCAGTTGCTCCATCAAAATCAAATAAATCTCTACTGAAATTTCTGTCTCTTCTCAGTCTAAAAGGTATATATCTGTGAGGATTTCTGGCAAACCGCAGCAGGTTCGCCATTTTTATCCGGCGGTTAAGGAATTTAAACTACCTCCCTTGAGCGTATAAATTTAACCAACCGTTTAGGAGATTTAACCATTGGTTAGTGCTAAACGACGTTTATGAAACCCGGTTAAACATCATTTAAGTTAAACGCCAGATTTAACCGGTGGTTAGTGCTAAACGTCCTTTATAAAACCGGGCCCTGGACATCAAAGGCCACAGGCTGTCCATTCTCCACAGTGATGTCCTCACTGGGGCTGACACCTAGGGATGCCGGGGAACCTGGCAGGAGACGGATCTTCATGGTGTGAGAGTCCTCTTCTAGCCCAGGGATTGTCACTTTTAGACTAAAACTCTGCAAAGGAAAATTGAACAGGTAGGTAATGACAACTGGCAAGTTAGGACAAGCTGACAACTGCAGGTACACTGTCAGCAAGTTAGGACAGGCTGACAACTGCAGGTACACTGTCAGCAAGTTAGGAAAGGCACTGTCTAGAGGGGGCTAATCCAATATTACTGCCTCAGCTCATGCATTATCAGTTCACATATTTCAAGTTCATGAAAAATTAATCTAAAATGGTATTTCCTCCTGTCTATTAGTTATCATTTCACTTGCCTTGAAATGGTTTTATTTACTAAGTATGTATGCAATGAGGCTTACTGGCAAAAAACTTTATCAATCAAATATAGTACATTCAAAAGTAGGAAAAACATCCAAGGATGCAGAGATGTGAAAAGTGAAGTCCAATAAAGGAGGAAAACAATACCTATCCCCCCTGGCTTACCTTTCCCTGGCTACTGGCCACAGCACCCTTGGCTACCACCCCTTTGATGACCAGTGCATTGCCTCGGACATGGCTGCCTTCAAAACTAAGATCTAACCCACTGAAATGGAACAATTCACAACTAACATTACATCATCTTTTTATATCTGCTAGGTGTCGGACTAAAGGTTCATTTGAAAGCTACAAAAGGATCAAGAGTGTTATTCCAGCTAATTGTTCTTTTGTTTCTCTAGGAGAGTGCTGTCTGTTGCTGTTCCCTCACCTGGCCTCCAGTGTGGGCACCAGCTCCTTGCCGGGCTTGGTGGGGTTGTTGAACTCATCCTGGAACTCCAGAGGGATCTGGAATGGCACCCCAATCCTGAATGGACCATCTAGGAAGCCCACAGAGAACTTGGCTGGTGGGGCCTCTGAAAGTAGCAATACCACCACCATCACAACCTGCTGTCAACCATATCAATAGTCCCTGAAGACATAACAGCCAGGGAAGTACTGACTTGAACCACAATACTATTCTCTCTGTTCACTGAAGACATAACAGCCAGGGAAGTACTGACTTGAACCACAATACTATTCTCTCTGTTCACTGAAGACACTTCCAGTCTTCTCTAGATAATGTTATAAGAGTTTTTATTAGTCCTAACTTCCACTCAGCAGTGATGACTGAGAGTAAGGGATTGCAATCAAGCCTCTGTTTTCTACAGTGACACCTTTAATCAAACCCCAATTCAAATTCAGCTTAAAATATCATCATAATTGTATGACCAGGAGGGTTTAAAGCCTGAACATTGGCTCCCGACAGTTGACCAGTTCAACAAAGATCTTGCCTGTCACAGTAAACTTGATGGTGTGTGATGGTAACTCTCTGCCTGCAAACATTTTGTTTCCACTCTCATTGAGCACTGTCTGTAAGACAAGTGTGTGGGCACCAAGGTTACGGATGTTTTCTGAAAAACAGATCACAGTACAATTAATTATTTACTTATATATCAAATAAAAGATAAAACTATATGACTGCATGAACTGTTATGGTGCCTATGTATTATTTTAGTAACTTACTTTCTCTGGCATACTAATTTCTACCACTAAACTAGAGGATCAGAGAGGCGATACCGCCTCCGAATATTGTACCACCAGCTGGAGCAAGCGCATTCGTATAGACCCCCACATACACAAAATAAGGGACACAGCCACCAGTTTTGTGCTTGACAAGCTGTAAAAATGCAATCAACAAGAATTTTTAAACTATTGCAAAAAATATATATGGTACAATCAAATTTAAGTTCTTTGTAAGATAGGTCAAGGGTCAATTTCAAGGTCACAGTAAATTGCCAGTATATGACTTCCTATTCAAGTTCAAGAGTAACTATGGACCTATCTCTGTCAAGTTTGAAGTTAAAAGAGAAAGAAATTAGCAGAGTTCAGTTCATGATAAAAAGTAGGTCAAAGGTCAATTT